CAGTTAGTCAGAGTACGCACATCGGTTTCCAAATGAATTAGAGACCCAACATGTCTGCCCTGCGTTACAGTCCCACCTCCCTTCCCTTGAGAATTGAGATGGAGAGGTAGGTGGCTTTGCTTTCCTTGTCTATCACCTAATAATTCTTCAGAAAGCTTGACAAGGATTTAAGTTTTCCCCAGCAGTCTGTGTCTGTAATTTCTTTGAGATTTTAACTCAACTCTCTGCGTTCATCCTTGAAACCAGAACTGATCCAACTGATGGTGTTATTAATTATATGGTAACTGGTTAAGTGATTAATTAGAACCCTGTTACCTTCTGTCTGTAGTTCTTGAATTCCAAACCGGTAGAGCTAGCTTGCTATTTCTGAGTTAGAATCCCCACCCCAGACTGCAGTTAAAAAGGATTTTCCTTTCATTATTAACGCCTTTGTTTGTTTAATGTAAAGTGGGTTTATTCTTGGGAAACACTTACCCCGATTCTTTTATTTTTTTGGTAGCATCATCAAATAGCTGTTATATCCATAAAAATGTTATTATTGAAGGGATAATATTGTTCCATGTGTTAGCAATTTTTTGTATATACATTACAGGAAAGCGACCTATCAAACTTAGAGAAGGGTATGAACCGCTCAAGAATCGTTATTTTCCATGGACCCACTCACCGTTATGGTAAAAGTAACGTGGGTACCTCTATTATCTGTGGGACCCACCAACTTATCCGTGTACTTTAACCCAATAATATTTTGATATATAGGATTCTGACTATGGAAAAGATATGATATCTGAAGAAATTGTGACGAGTCAAGTAGATAATGATAAAAAGGGAAGATATGAGGGTTAGAATGGAGGAAAGCATTAAAAACTGGATTAGGATTGTCAGTCACACGTCACGCCATGAACAATAATGCATACTCAAGGGAGGAAAGCATTAATGTTTGAGTCTGGGGTCGTCTGGTTGATGCACCCACATGCTCATGGATGCCATTAAATGTAACTTGAAGCTTTCAATTCTAATTAACTTACAATTGCGCGCATGATTTTTTATCTGAATTGAGTTTTTCTTTTCTGGGTTAAAGATTCAAGATTGGTCCTTGGGTCCTGATCAAAATTGCGCTTTTTTAGCGGAGTCTAATGTATCATCATCATCATAGAGAAGAGACGTAGAGTGCGTGGAATGATTAATTAATCCTTCCTATTAAACCAGCAATTGTGGGAGTGTCGGTGTCAAATTAAACTAACTGTCAATGATCATCTTTAAACAGATTTTTCACTGATTAATTCACTCTACCTTTCCTACCATTTCAACTTTACGAGACACACACACACACCTCTTTTCCTCTCCTTCTCGCAGCTAATAGAAACGAGTAATCATCCAGTCTTTATCCATCAGATTGAAATTCCTTGTTCATATGGGTACAAATCCTAGTACTGTAAATCCTTGTCATTATGGGACATCCTCTCTCTCTCTCTCTCTCTCTCTCTTCAAGTTATATATTCATGAGTTAAAAGGAGCACATGGGTAGGAAGAAATTTAAGAGAAATGGAGGTTGAAGCAGCATCACATGAACACGAAGACCCATTGATATATTGTCCAACTGACTCCAAGAGAGAGACCATGTCAACCATTTGGTGAATAGAGGTGGATATGCCTCATATATGAACTCTGTTGAACTGTATAATAAGTTGATCAATGTAATACATAGTTTTGTTTTTGAAAGAAAAGAAAGGCAGAATATGACCTGAAATGGAGAATTAAGAAATTGAAAATGAGAATGAAGAAGACATGGGCCACGAATTTACAGTGAAGGAACATGAAAGGGACAGGGAGGGCTGCGAGGCAGAAGGAACATGAAGCCCAACTGTAAGCTACTAAATTCTCGATTTGAACCCACGACACTTGTTTAAAATGGATGTGAAAGATGTTGGACCCCCTTCCCAGTAGTCACTGTTTCTACATGTGAGCTTTGTCCCCGTTTCAATCCAGAGTGGTCCCTTCTTCTCTTAGTTTTGAGTCTTAAAGCAGCCAACTCTTCCGCCCTTTAGTTTTTCTTTCTAATAAAATAAATAATAAAATAATAATGGGCGGCCATTAAAAAGACTGGAATTTTATCAAGATTTTTTTCCTTGTCAAAATGGATAACCAATCGTACTTCATTCGTACCCTCCTATCTTTATTGGATTCTCGTTGTTCTGATTACCAGGGTTTCCCTACATACCTTACATTCCATTCCATTCCATCTTTTTAAAGGGTCAAATTAAAACTTTAAAATTCCATATTAATGATGAAATATGGGAAATGGGTTTTCATTTCTGCTCAGGAAATTGCAGTTGCTCAGAAGTTCAGTTGAGATGTCAAAGGGTTCTTCCCCTGAAAATGTGAAATTAAATCAAATAAGTGCACCAGCTAGATCATAGTTAATAAAGTAAGTGGGTTTATTTTGGAGAGAGTCAAGTAGAAAAACAAACAAGACAAAACATGAAGTGACATAAGGATTCTCTGTGTTGCTCATAATGGGAATATGAAAAAAAATAATATCTACAGAGACCCATCTCATATTCGTAACCAGAAATTAATGGGGTGTCAACATAAATTGCCCATAAAAGGTGAGAGTCTCAGCTGATATATATATATATATAGAGAGAGAGAGAGAGCTCATGGGTCGTCTGCTCTCCAAGTATAAGGTTTGCATATGCCTTCTCTCATTGCAAGAGACATGTATAAAATTGCCCAACTGAATCAGGGAAAATTGGATTCTTGAGTTACCTTCATGCCTAATTCCAAAGAAATGGCACTATCTACTTTATTTCTTCATGTACTCCTTGCACCAGACAAACCAAAATCCCATTAAAAACAACTCGACAGAGAGAGAGAGAGATAGGAATATTGATATTTAGTTTTGGGAGGACAGGATGTGGTAGTGGATATTGGAGGGTAAGGGGAAGAGTGAAAGATAAACCTTTGGTGCATAGGAGTTGGAGAAGCAGTTATTCGGAAGAGGTGTTAGTGTCAGAGCAGTTTGTGGTTGAAGGCAGGCCCCATCTTACAAGACTATCTGAACCAGCCTTTGTTTCTCTGCTCGCCCTGACTCCTGACTCACTGCTTAAAATTATAAATAGCAGGTCTTTCATTTATGGATGGAATGACGTATCAGGGTGGAGCCCCTGAAACTTTTTAGAGAGAGAGAGAGAATGCAAGATGAGTCCTTTTCTGGGTCCAATCCCGAGAAGATATCTTGAAATAAAAGTAAAATAGGTTGGTTTTAAACAAAGTCAGTTGTAGTTCAAAGGCAACTTAGGAATGCAAAAAAGAAATGCAAGTTAAGGGCATCCAATCTTAATAGATGCTTGGATGTTTCATTGCATTATTGTGTGATGGGCCCTGGGCCCATGGCCCATTGTTTTGCACTTACATTTCATCATCCTATCATAGTCCCGTCCCCATAGTGGCATCACTACTGAGTTTTTCTTTTTTCTTTCTTTTAACTCTAAACTCAGAATCTTTGACTGATAAACTGATAAATAAGGTTGTGTATGGTCTATAATGAAAGGCTTTGGTATCCAGGGGTATCGACTTCTGGCCCAGTAAACTGTAGTTAAGAGGGTCCAAGCATTTGAGTTGGTGGGCCACATGTAATTTTAAATACCATAATACATCATACGCCTCTCCTACAAGTAACACAACAAGGCATAATTTTAATAATGGGCCCATGAAGCAAGTGGTCTGTCCTGGACCCTGGACTCTGGACTCTGGACCATCTATCTGATTTGTGGGCTATGGCTCAAAGTGGTACGGTCCAACCCCGTACAATAAGAGTATCCTCTCCTTACAGTTATCCGGTCAACCACTTGGAACCCCCCCCCAAAAAAAAAGTCAGTTAATCAGAGGATTAAGCTCAGCTCACCTGATTGTTTACCCTGACTCTTGGGTTTACGTGGGACTTTAGGAGATCTTCCCTGTGGGCCTCCCTGATTGGACGGCCTCTTCCCTCTTGCATGTGAGCCACATGTACTCTTGGGAAGTGAAGTTCGCTTAAAATAATTGTTTGCAATAAAAAAAAGATTCGGTTTCGTACACCATAATTCTTGTGGGACCCGCCAGATCATCCCTTAATCTATGTTTAGGAAATCTTCTTGTTAGAGATTTTTTAATTAAACAATTGATGAAAAATACCTGGAGTTATGTGAAAATGAATATGGATGCCGATGTACGATAAATTCTATTTTAAGCCCCGTTTGGCTCGGGGAATAGGGGTCTGGAATTGGAATTGGAATCGGAATTGGTTACTTGGATTCCAATTGTTTGGTTGGGTGTAATGGGAGTTGCATTTCCATTTTCGCTGGAATGATATTTCCCATTCTCTACCTTTTTCTTGGAAATAAAATCTCATTTTTACTGATTGGGATTCTGAGTTTGAAAATTTTGATCTCAAACGGACCCTTAGTTTTGGTAGATCCCTTGGTTTATTATTATTGGCTATGTGATGACTGATGAGTGATGCATGGGCAGCGGGCTGGATGAGCTACCAAGATTATTTACATTTTCTTATCGTTTCTCGTTTTCTTGTTTGCATTTTTTTGCTACTGTGTTTCTCCTTTTATTAATTAAACAATTTTATGAGAAGTAAGAAAATAAAAATGGAAGTAGTTGTAGGGAAAACATGAAGAAACAAAAAAGAGGAGTCGGGATGGTACCCATTTTCCATTTGAAGTACTTTACGTGTCTGCCAACAAAAAGTACTTTACGTGAAATAGGAGTTACCCAACTCAACTACAACCGTTGGTTTGTTTGGAAAATTGAGAAATAACCATATATACGGAACATAAAAGTAAATTTCTGTGATATTCCAAACACGTTATCCCACATATGTAGATTTTTTTTGGTGGTGTCTGCTCGTATCTCATTTTACGATTTACTCTCCCCAAGTCTCAAATCCATGCAGTGAACCGAAGGCTCAACCTTCAAAATTATTTGTTTGTGTGAGAGAGAGAGAGAGAGAGTGAGAATAGGAAAAGGGAATTCACCCACTTTAGTTTCATTAGTCTCTCGCAGGGCGCAACACAAACACCACTGTGAGGAAAATCTTGGCTTAAAATGTACAAATCTAACCCAGAAAAGGTTCATATGTCTTGGGTCAGAAAAAGGAAGTACAAAAAGAAAAGAAAACGAAAGAAGGGAAGAGATCAAAATGAGAAGTAAAAGGAGAGAGAGAGAGAGAGAGGAGAGAGGGAGAAAAAAAGAGAAGCAGTGATATGATGCAGCTTCGTCTTTGTCATCCTCTCTCCTAAAACACCGACAACAGTAATCTTTCATCTGAGCATGGAAGTTAGAGAGCGGAAAACGACTTCTTCGCAAGGAATAGTGAGACCCATGTCGTGATCGAAGCCGAACTCCTCTTCGGCTCTCTGGAGGAGGCTCTGAAACTCTGGATGAGTGAGTAAGGAAATGGGGACAATGTATCTGCTTCTCTTCTCCCCGACGTAGACTGCAAAGTGGCCCTTTGGTACGTCGACTGGAAGACCTTCATCGTCGTACCCTTGTTTCTTGCCTAAGCTTGAACATCTCTTGAGAATCTGCTTGATGACTGCTGTTTGAGGTAGTTTGTTTGATTTCCTGAGAGCCATTCTGGAGATATCTGTAGGAGAGAAGTTGTGGTGTCAACAGAGTGGAAAGAAGGGAGGCTCAGATTTCAGAAGATGGGAGAAGTGGAAGGTGGTAGTGGTGAGATGAGGGGGAGAGGAAGGGTTGGAGGGGTATTTATGGAGGGAGTTAGTGGAGAGAGAGAGGGAGAGAGAGAAACAAAGTCATGTGGGATGTGGGGGCAAAGGACAGACCACGGGTGTTTTGGGGAGGGTGAGTGCTACAGGAACATGCTGGGAGCCAACCCCATTGGGCTTACTCTTTGTTTGTTGGCCCTCCTTAGGACAACATGCCCCCCTCTCTCTCTCTCCTGGTTTCAATTTTGGGCATTGGATCTCAAGTTTCTAACATTTTGTCTTGTCTCTCTCTCTCTCTCTCTATATTTATATTCAAGTTCGAAAATGTTATTTTTTCTTGGCCCTTCTCTCTCTTCTTTCCGTCCCTATATTTATGTAATTTTCTTTGAGTATATTTTTTAGGGTCCCTGTCTGGCGTCAGCTCTTGGGGCCCAAAACTTGAGATTTTGTATCCTCCTTCTGCAATTTCATTGATTTGCTAAGGTACACCCTTTATTCTTTTGGGTAAAAAATTGGGTTTCGATAGAGTTCAAGCTTTTCCATTGCTTCTTTCTTTCTTTATCCTTTCTATGGTTAAAGAAAACCTAAATTCCAATCTGTTTCCTCTTTTCTAATATACTGTTTTGGATCAAGTTTCATGGTCACAGCCCCTATCTCTTACATTTATTACCACCATTTGAATCAAGAGATTTATATACCATCTAATCCAATCAAGAGCTTCCCATCAAACAACCAAAGCTTCCATCAGATTAATGGTAGGCTTTTCAATTACCACTTCCACAGCCCATATCATCCCTTCAGTTTCCTTTTTCTTTATTAATCTTCCATTCTAAATTTGGCTTGATCCTGTATATATGCATTTTTGAAATTCAAAATGATTTTTTATCTTTTTACAAAAAAAAATCTATCTTATTTACAGAACTCTCTCTCTCTCTCTTAATGATTCACGGATCAATAATAACTGTACTGACGAGTACCACCTGAGGTGTGGGTTTTTGTGTTTGGTTCTTTTTGATTGTTGGGCTTGTGATTCTGTCGATTGAAGCTCGAAAGGCAGAAAAAAATTAATACGTAGAGAGGGTGCAGAAACCCATGTGTTTAGCTCTACTGTTTGCAGGTTTCGACCCTTCAGGTGCCACCAGTCAATTCTTCACTGCCTTTATCTCTGTCAACAATGGTCCTGCCGTCTGAGCTCACAGATGTCTGAAAGCCTCACATGTATCTCTTATATTTATTTTATTTTTCTTTGTATTCTGTAATAACTTACTGGATAATGTTATCAGTATCAATACCCAAGTTATTTCTTTTTTAAGCTTTTTTTCTTCCCAATTCTGTACTACATTAATCCAGACTATAGCTATAGGATCAGGACAGAGAAGTTAATCAGTAATTAATTCACGTAGAGAGCAGTGAAATTAATCAATCGTTTCACAAGTACTCACAAAGATCTTCTAAACCGGAATGTATCCAATTTGTTTATTAATTTATGTTTTACAATTCAATATTTCTAAATAAGTATTGAGAATGAAATAATGAATATTGTTTCTGGCTTATCTCCCTAATTAATCCTCTTTTGGATGTAGAAACTAGAAAGAAATTGGCGTTTGAATGTTTGTATTCTTTTACTTGTACAAAGGCTGGTTGGGACCCACCCAATAAAAATGACAATATTAATAATAAATAATCAAATTAAAAAAATAGTCAACCATACCAACATTATATGTTGCAGCAAAACGAAGGCATTGTATTGTTCATCAAATATTATATGGATATTAACCATTCAATCGATTAGCTACTTGCAGCAAAAAGAAAAAAAAAAAAATTAATTAGCTAAAAAAAGGTCAAGATTAAAAGAATTTTTGCCGCAAGTAGCTAATTAACTGAATGGGAACATAGATTTAAGTAAGAAAAATAAAGCCATAGAGCTCATTTCTGGATAATATCCATATAACATTTGAGGAACAATCAAGATTAAACAGATTTTAATAAAAATTTGAATTAAATTCTAATGGTCCAACTGGTGTGTGTCAAGAAGTGACGACGTTTCCACATTAAAGGAGTTATAGGCATGTGGTCCTCCACCCAAAAAAATAAAATAAAATAAAAACGATCGACTACCATCAAATAGGAGGAGGGTTGCAATCAGACAACTTCATCTCAAACGAGCACCACTGGTATCTCACGCTTGTCTCAGATGTGTAAAAGTTAAAAGTTACTTCCCCATGTTCTAAGGCCCAGAAAGCGATCTGAGAAAGCCTGAGTAAATGCCGTAAACAGTAGTTACGTTAACGTTTCTCCCTTGTTTGTTGTTGTTGTTCTTCTTCTTATCAGTCAAGAACATTAAGGGAAAAAAAAAAAGAAAGCATTAATTGGCATTGGGCCATAGCCTCTTGAAGAAACCTCCCATGTTCTGTGAATGAGATTGTTTGGTGCAATGTGCAATGGAGCATAAAAAACAGAATGACTAGGTGGGTGACCGATCAGCCACCATTCCCATGGAGAGGGAGTGGCTACATCTAATCAACAAATTAAAGTCATTCTCTTTGGTTGATGGGGACCCAATTAATCCTTGTGTTTTGTTCATGAAAGCCATGCTACCCTTTTCCCTTTAGCTGTAACTACTCTCTCAGGCGAAGGATATTATTCTAATTGCTTGCTTAACCAATTAACCATCCCTCAAAGGCTCAAACTATAACATCCCACTTGGGATCTCTGCTTATTGTAAAATTCTTTTATACAGTTTACTACACTTGTATGGACTGGTTGTCTAGGAATGTGATCGTGGGTGCATGGGTAAAAGGATTATAGCAGTAGAGAGAGAGAGAGAGAGAGAGAGAGAGAGAGAGAGAGAGAGATGCGATTAGATTGACGACGTTGAAGCATGCATGCCATAAAGAAACAAATAACAAAGCAAGTGAGGAGTAAGGACGTGATTTTTTATATAAATGGCAGAGTAGCAGTAGCAGTGGCGCGGTGGTTGAATAGAGACTTCAGTATTACCAGAAAAGACTGGACAGCCATGGTTTAGATCTTGCAATGATACGAGTTTGGGCCCTAAAAATGGTGGTGAGGTTCAGAATTAAGTTAGATCAGTTGGGTCCCGCTGCAAGCAAAACTAAAGCACACGTACAGTTTGCCATCTAAGACAATGGGCCTCTCACCTTAGTCCTTAGTACATGACAAACCCCATTGTGTTAAATACTCGAGGACAAGCCAAGAGTTACATTGAGAGCACATTGACAACACATAAATGATAAAACCCTATAAGGGCCCTTTATGGTCCCATCCATGCAATTTCTCTGGTTCACCACCATTATCCCAAACATCAATTAAAGGACTTACGGAGGTGGTACCATCTCTAAAGCTTCCGTAGTTACATTACAACGTACTAATCTACTTAATTTGTTGAGCCTTCCAATCCTTTACAGCTGTGGCTCCTAATCCTGGACCTAATTCGCCCAGTATCCTCTGGTTCAGGTACAGGATTCCAGGAACACTAGTAGTTGTAGATAGTGGTGGTGGTGGGGGGAACAATTGATGTCAGACCATGCAGCACCTACAGCTGTATGATTTAAGAACATTTCAATCACACTAGGAGGGTTTCATTTGAACTAAATTAAGATGGGCTAGCTATTATCAATTGCAAGATGATGGGGTGGAGAATACTATGAATGGGCACCAATTATCTGGATCCAACCTGAAGGGGAGAGAGAGAGAGAGAGAGAGAGAGAGAATGGATCATGTATTTTATTGAGTTGGGTAAGGTATGGGCAGGTTAGACAGGTTAGCAGAGAGCCAATGGCCGCACCTGACTTCCATTATTAAATAGGCCAAGTTGTTGTGTCCATCCAAACACAAAAGGACGTGAGACTACGTTGTTGGGGCAAGAAGACCGCTGCTCTCAATTGCAGTTGCAGGGTCGTTGAGAAGGTGGTGTTGGATACTTGGATCATGGATGAGGAGATAAAGCAAGAACAATTCGCAGCAGCATCGAGATCAATTATATCGGGTGATAGCTAAACAAATGATGTAAATTCGATCACTCCGCCTTCTGGGAGGCGGAAGCCAATAATTTATAGATCAAGACTATTAATAGTCTACTAATGGTTTACACTTGGGCTTTTCAAAGAAAAGGAAAAAAAAGGTTTGCACTTGCAGTCGATTCAAAGGATGTTGATACGTGTTGGGTGCACCTCTCGTTGATCACAGAAAGGATCATGATACATTCTTTCTGAGTCTTACCTAAACCTTTTTCTTATTGTCTTCCTTTTCTTATATATTTGTTCTTTTGATTCAAGTGATAAGATAACAGCACAAACATGCAATAAAAGCCTAATGTTCAGAAAAAAAAAAACAAGGAAAAGGAATAAAAAGCCTAGGGAAACCTATAGTATAACATACATGATACATGGCCACAAACTCAGTAAATACAGACTCAAAATTGTCAACACATTTAATCCATTTTATTGTCTAAGAAGAATAAAGCAGCAGGATCAAGGAGAGCAGCACATATTATCGCTGTTTTTTCCCAGTCTGCTGGATTTCCTACACAGTACAGCCACCATATCCTTTTCTATGAAGGACACTACTGTATTAGTCCCACTTACACCAAGTGAATCTGAACCACAAGTACTTCACAAAGCAGGAAGGATAGGAAGGATGGTTTGATTATCTGTCCTTCCAAATGCAGGTCATTTATTACAACATATGTGCATTCTACCCCTTTCTTTCCTGCAACCAGGAAAAAAAAAAACAAGCATTTTACCCCTCTATGACCATTTTCTTAAGTCCACCTCTTGGGATAAAGCTTTCAAGGAATCTTACCACGTGAGATAGGGCACAAAATGGGACTTACAGTTACTGGGTAATAAATTGGAAGAATCGACTAAAAGACTTTCCCCTTTTACTATTATAGGTAATAGATATAACTGATCATATGGAGAAAATTCTTTTGTTTTTTCTAATTTTTTCTGCTGTCTGCTATCAAACATGATGGCCTTTAAAGAGCTCACATCACATGTCTCTGATCGAAGGCATCCTTATTGAGATATATAACTAAACTAGATTTTCAACAACCTCCGAAAATAGTTAAATACTTCCAACAGATTAAAACAGACTGAACAAAAAAGATAGTATCTTTTCTTTTCATTGCTGTCAAATAAAATATACATATGTGCCGTTAATGAGATGAAAGAAAACAGAGGGTAAAAGTGGGATTACGTAAGTTCAACTATTCCACATTACTATTATTTGGGTAGGTAGTGTGCTGTGTTCTTACATCCCCATGAATATCAGTTTGAAAGGCAACCCACAATGATATTGGGCTCAAGTACATTCAATGGCCAGAGGTGGGCAGAGATTGCTGAGGCTGCCCATCAATCAAACTCATCTGTCTTCTGAGCTTAACAATATAAGCTTGCACCTATCACAGTCAAAACCAACTGTCAAGGACATACTCCAATATCTCCATAGTTTTCTAAATATTAAAATAGTTGAGGACTTCCAGCCTATGTGTACAAATAAACAAGACAAACACATGATGAGAAAACCATATATGTGGGGACACCATTATACAAAAAATTGGTTCGTTTTAAGAAATATGCAACTTGATGGATAATGGATGAGAGATTAAAGGAATTCCAAGCATTCATATGAAGGCTGGCCCACAGGTTCAAGATATTCAGACTTGGAACCAGCTAGTCCATTTGCAACCACATGAAAACCACAAGATAATGGATACAAGTGGCAAGATTTTCAGACAAAAGATTGCATTCCATCATCATGGGTAACTCACACATAACATGGTATGATGAACAAAAGAAGGAATGAAAAGTAGGCATTTCAGACTGGGAATCCCAGTGGAACTTCTTAAATTTCAGTAATTTCTGCTAAATATTATAAGAGCAAACATTGCAGCCAATTCATGTACAAAATAAATCCACTTTATTTAACTATGTGGATAGATAAATTGCAGTCATTAATACTTAATTTCTCTAGTAACTCACTATATGCATGGAAAAGAGTTCCCTCTATTCGGGTTAGTTCAATTAGGACTTTTCTCTATATGAAGTACCGAAACTTTTCCATGTAGCAAAATGATAAGTTTGATCCATCAGATAGGAGACCTTTCGGATTGCCATGTCTTCTATCCTGTCATCTGCTTCAACCCAATACCCAAGTCCCAAGCATACATTGAAGTATTGTCAATGTGATATTAGCCACCTAGAGTTTCACTTTTCAAAACCAAAAATAACATGCAAGGATTTGAAGCTGGAACCTTCCCATGAAGTGAAGTAATTGGAAGACATCGGGACCCCATAGATGTGTCCACACAGAAGATTCCTGGGTTGCTATGTCTCTAATCAACTTGATTAGCAAACCCTTACCAAGTGTCTCTCCACAGCTAAAGGTTTTGCCAGATGAGGCACTTATCCATTAGGCTAAAATTGGGAAGAGTGCAAATACAAGGTTTAGAAATAAAAATATGGGCCATATGCAAGGTTTTGCACTGAACATATTTGTATTTTGCACTCTTCCCAAATGGAGCCCGAATCTTTTTATGCAATACAACAGGTAAGCCCCGGTGGTAAAATTGAAATTTAGTCAATTCTTGCCAACTTTTAAAAAGAATGGTATGCTGTACCAGTTATAGGTCTGTCAACAAGCCAGGCCTTGGCCTGGGTTTACCTTAAACCTTCCAGCTCAAGCATATTGCATAAAAACTTTTAACCCATTTACCAGCTCAGCAGGACATGCATGGGCTTGGCTAGATGTAAAATGTTAGTCCCAAGCCAGGTGCCAGGGAAAGCATGCTAGATTGTGCAACACTGCTGGGCAAACTAAGAAATTTAGACATTAAAAAGACTTCAAACCAAACTCCAGTTCCCCCCCACCCCCCCCAAAAAAATAAAAAAAAAATCGCAACTCAGCTTTATGCACTTAATTTTTTGGGGTAGCTTTTAGGCACACCATCTGATTAATCAACTGATACGTTCGGGCTCATAATCAAGAGAAACCAAAAGCAAATTAGGTTGGTGCAGCCCAAAATGTTAAAGTCTAGTAGACCTAATGCAAAAATAGAACCATATTGTGCCAGAAAATTATGGGAAGTTTGGTCAAATAAACACAGCCAGATTATCCTGGCAAGTTAGTTTGAATTTGGTGCATTTCCTATGTAATGAAAACAAGTGGTGTCATCCACCAGGTGTATTTGTACCATTAAGAATGAGAAATGCCATTTCAGCATATACCACAAGGTTAAAAGTGTGGTTTATTATTTTTTTTAATTTTCTTTATTTTGATAAGTAACTGATTCCATTTCACTAAAAGGAACAGAGGCCAGCAGCACTATAATAAGTGGCTGGCCAAAGGACAGTACAATCTCAGGACCATACCAAAACCACTCAGAAACAGAGAAAAAAGAGAAACAATTACAGATTACAGCCTGGTCCAGGACAACCCCAATCCAAGGAAACTCTCTCCACCCCAGATCTAGCCAAAGAATCACCTTCCACTTTCACATTTCTCCACCTCTGCATCCTTACAAGCTTTATTCCTTGAATTAAGGCCAATAACTCTGCTCTTAGGGAATTTCCTTCCCCAGTCGGACCTGAGGAACTAAGGATAATGATACCTTGAATGTCTCTCACCACGCCTACTCCAGACAAACCCGGATTACCCAAACAACACCCATCTTCATTTTGATAAGTAACTGATTCCATTTCATTAAAAGGAACAGAGGTCAGCAGCACTAGCTGGCCAAAGGACAGTACAATCTCAGGACCATACCAAAATCACTCAGAAACAGAGAAAAAAGAGAAACAATTACAGATTACAGCCTGGTCCAGGACAACCCCAATCCAAGGAAACTCTCCCCACCCCAGATCTAGCCAAAGAATCACCTTCCACTTTCACATTTCTCCACCTCTGCATCCTTATAAGCTTTATTCCTTGAATTAAGGCCAATAACTCTGCTCTTTGGGAATTTCCTTCCCCTATCGGACCTGAGTAACTAAGGATAATGATACCTTGAATGTCTCTCACCACACCTACTCCAGACAAATCCAAATTACCCAAACAACACCCATCAAAATTCAGTTTAAAATTTCCTGCAGCCGGTGGAGACCACACCATAGATCTTTGGGGGTTACTTGAGGGAAAACCTGTACAATTTTACACCCTATCAATAAATCATTGAGAGAAACACCTGAAAATTCTTTACAAATGATAGCCCAGTGTACCACTCTTAAAGTTATTAACTCAATGAGATCCTCTACCTGCTTGCATTTCTTTTCAAAAATTCTCGCATTCCTTTCACATCATAACCTCCACAAAACAGCTCCACACACTTATTGCCCAGTGTTTTAAAAGTGCAAGGTGCAAGGCAAGGCACGTGCCCTTTTGAAGCAAGGCGCAAAAATACAAAAAAAAAAATGCTATAAAATCAAAAAAGTCAGAAAATTGAAAAAAAAACATCAGAAAATTAAAAAAATGCAAAAAAAAAAGAAAAAATATTAAACATAATATTTTTTTGATAAGCGAGAGTAATTTTATTAAATCAAATAACAAAAATACAATCAGCCTAGGAGGAGGCACGAGATGTTACCCCCTAGGACTGAACCATATACACCAAAACTGCCCAAGCCTAAGACACAATTACAAAGTAGCCCAAAATAGATCTCCCCTTGACACCCTCTGCTTGGCCAGAGGATCAGCCATTGCATTTGCTGATCTTCTAACCCACTGAAAACTGAAAGTCATACTCCTTGTCATCCATTTAACTTTCTTTAACAGATCCCTGTAGCCCCAACAAGCTGTTTCTGGCCTAATTAGCCAGCCTACTACCACCTTGGAACCCCCTTCTACTAGCAGATTTGTCACACCATTTTGACTAGCCATCTGTATACCTTGTACCGCTGCTAGTAGCTCAGCCCTTATTGAATCACCTTCACCCACTGGTCCTGAAAATAGAGACAACATATTGCTGTCTTTGTCTCTCAGAATCACACCAATTCCCGATGGTCCTGAAAATAGCTCTGCCCTTTTAAAATTAATGTTTTAAAAAACCTATTATCTAAAATTAAAATACATAAACATAACATGTAAAGCGTATTCAAATGAAAATTTAAAAATAAAATCGAACATATAAAACATTTTCAAGTGTATTCAAACCCACAATCTCTTTTTTTCCTCAGTTGCATTACTTCTAGTAGCAAATTGATGTAAAACATATTACATTCCTGATTCTACAAGCCGCCTTTGTGCCACACCCCTCGAGGCAAGCCCAAACAAGTCGATGTTAGGATCTTAAATTCTTAATTTTCACACAAAAAATAATGATTTATAATTTTAATTGCCTTTTAAGAAGATATTTTATTAAGATGAATGAATGAACAACATTAGCAAATAGGGGGTTCACCGATATTGCCACAGAACTCTTTCTCCAAGTTACACCATCATCATCCCTGTCTTGAATATATATCTTTCACTTCAGGAGGTGCTACCCAGTCTCTTCCAACCAAAGAGAAAAAGTGCTGCCACACCCAAGAGGCATAGGAGCAATGCAGCAACAGGTTATTAGTGTTTATGATTTCCCCATTCTTTAAACAAGGAACACACAAGGGGAAATTGACCAGTTCCTCCCAACAAAAAAATTTCACTTTGGGGGGAATTGGATTTGCCCGTAGTTCTTTAGCTGGAAATAAGAGGTTATCAGAAGAATAGGTTAGGCATTTAAAGGAGCCACAGGTGAAAATTCCATTTGCATTAGGAATCTGCACCCTCTCATCTGACCCAGAAGGAGTTAAAGTTACCTCTTGAAGAGAATTTAGTAAGGGGATTAGCTCAGTGGTTTCAATATCTGTCAAAGGTCTCTTCAAATGTAAAGCCCTAACTAACCCTCTCCCATCATAAAAAATCAAGTCAGCTATATGTTTGTTTTTAGCAACGGATAAATTGAAGATTCTTGGGAAAGACAGGAAGAGAGGAGACCTCCCAAAATTTCACCACATCCAGAAATAGCATCATATGTAACATGTTGTAAGAAAGAAGTTAAAATTGTTTCCCAGGGACTTTTTGTGTTAACTGTTCTAGCCAGTCCTGAATCCCACCCGTTAGGGTGCACACCATGGATGCTCTTTATTACCAAATGCCACACGGCTTCCCTTTCTTTAGGGAAACCTCCAAAACCATTTCCCCAAAAGAGCCTCATTTTTCACTTGAAGCCTCCCTAACCCTAAATCTCCACCTTCTTTAGACTTATACACCTCAAACCATTTCAAAAGATGGTTGCACTTGTTGCTACCTGAGTCCCACAACAAACTCCCTTATAAGCTTTTCAAGCTTCCCCCTTTTGAAATATAATTCTTCTTCTAGGAAGCTAACATCTTAACAAATCTCTCTATCACCCCTTCCCAGAAAGAC